TGCTTGGCAGATCCCCTGAAACCTACTCGCGACCCCCCCAGGGGGTCCCGGATTCCTGGTTGAGAATCACTGCTATAACTGACCGGGAGAGGGGCGGGGACTGAACAGGGAAGGGCCCAACCAGCGAAGGCCAGGAGCTGGGGTTTGACATGGGGGAGGAGAGAGAACCAGGGGAGTGACACAACAGGGTGATGTGGTTGGAGCAGAGAGCCGGGAAGCTCATCCCAGGAGGAGGGTTTGAACAAGCCTGAGGGGGAGATGATCAGGCCTGGGCCCCACAAATCAGAACATCTGGTTTCTTTTTTAAGTTAATTTTTAAAGCGGTGTGTGGTGGGGATTGTTTGTGTTTCCCTACCTGGGTGTGTGTTGGAGTCGAACCCTCTCCGTGGAATCGACTCTTAAATTAACCTCTGGGCAGTTTATTCCACAATTTTCCCTTAAGGGTGTTTTCACATTCCTGTAAATCACCGGCTACTGGTCCCTCTTCGAGACACACCACAAGTCTTCTGCAGATGTGCCATTGATCTGATCCAGTGTGGCAATTCCAACGGTCCTAAGTTAAATTCTGGGTCTTTATCCAAATGAAACCTACTGAGGTTCACCCGTCACCAAGGCCCAAACTCAGCCCTGGTCTAAGTGGATGCAGCTCCCATGGAAGTCAATGGGAGCAGGTCCAGACTGCACAAGAAGGTGCAGGAGCAGGGATCTTAGACCTGGAGACTAATTTTTCCTTTTTCCCCCTCATTTCTGTCAGTTTGTCAATAATGAAGGACATTGATGAAATACTGACGGAGTCGTTATTGCCAGCAAGAGACAGAGTGAAGAGACACATAGATGAGCTTCGGGAAATTGCAGATGCTATTGACAAGATCCACAAAGGAGCAAGAATAGCAAACGTTACTGGAGGGGCAGTGGGAATTGCTGGGGGGATAACAACCATCGTAGGCCTCTGTCTCATTCCTGTTACATTTGGAGCATCCCTGATAGTCTCTCTTACAGGGCTTGCTGTTTCTACCGCAGGGGGACTGACCAGTGCAGCCGCAACTACCACAGATAAAGTGGCAAGTAAAGTCAAGAGGGAGACAGTAGAGAAGCTCCTTCAGGAGTGTCAGACTGAGCTGGAACATATCAAAGACTATGCAGAAAGAATAGCTGAAAAAATCCAAAACTTGAAAGATAATGAAAAGAAAGGTTTTGTGTTGGCAATTCCACAGATAGGTTCAGGGGCAGGACGAGCTGTTCTTAACACCATGAAAATGGTCAAAGCTGGTCAGCTCCTGGCTAATGTTGGTAGAATTGCAAACTTTGCAGGAGCTGCGACCCACGTTCTAACAGGTGTCACCCCGGGGTTAGATACTTTCTTTACAGCAAAAGATTCTATGGAACTCCACAAAGGTGCAAAAACGGAGCTGGCAGCTAAAATCCGAGAAGCCGTCAATGAAATGGAGCAAATGATTGACCATTTCAACGAAATGGTCAAGGCCCTAACTTTAA